GCCCCTGCGCCCTCCAGCAAGGCTGCGCCAGGGAGCCGGTCCAAGGGCAGCCGCCCCGCCCATCCAGGCCCCCGCCAAACCTGGTGGCAAGCGAATGAGCAGAGGCCCTGAGATGGGCAACCCAGAGTTGGAGGGACCTGCTCTTTAGGAGATGGTAAGCACACCACTCCCTCCCCCGGAGGAGGGCCGGGCGGAGAATCTTTTCATCTTTTTCCGCCACTGGCCTCTCGGTCAGTGGTACCCAAATACTCGACAAAGAGAAATTCCTCTATTTCTGGGTCCCCAGAGGGGACGGGGGGTTGTGGACGATCCAGTGCGTATCACACTCACCCTCCTCTCTCGCCAGTGAGCAGCAGTGGGCGGATCGGGAGGACGAACCAACGGTCTACCCACGCACCCTCTGCTCGAACGCAGGTCAGTGTTACACACACCCAGACCCCGCCTCGGACCGGCTATGAGACGCCCAGGCCGGGTCACTGCGTTCTTCCGCGCTGCCCCACTGCGGGTACGCCTGTAGTTCCGTTGATGCCACTTACGCAGTGTCTCAGGTGGGCGTGACAACGCGGCACTTTCCAAGTTACACCGGCCTGCCGCCAAACCTTCACCCCGTGGTCAGACCTTGCGTTTCTCCGGGCAGGAGTGCCCCTAAAGCAGGTCTCCAGGCTTGCAGTGTCAGGGGTTTGGATGGGGCCACAACTGCACTGGCATCAACTGCCTCGTGTTGCTGGCAGTACACCTTGCCCTGAGCCGTCTCAAAGGGCGCTTACGAGGCAAGCATGTACTAGTCCGCACAGACAACACAGCGACCGTTGCGTACATCAACCGACAAGGTGGTCTGCGCTCCCGTCGCATGTAACAACTCGCCCGCCACCTCCTCCGCTGGAGTCAGAAGCATCTGAGGTCGCTTCGTGCTGTTCACAATCCTGTTTGCCTCTCCTGAAACCTCTCACTGCCAGTTGTTCTTCTCCCTGCCGAGGGAACACTCAGCGCGGACGCACTGGCACACAGCTGGCCACGGGGCCTTCGCAAGTATGCGTTTCCCCCAGTGAGCCGCCTTGCACAGATACTGTGCAAGGTCAGGGAGGACGAGGAGAAGCTCCTGTTGGTGGCACACTATTGGCCTACCTGGACCTGGTTCCCGGAACTAATGCTCCTCGCAACAGCCCCTCCTTGGCCGATTCCTCTGAGAAAGGAGCTACTGACTCAGAGATGGGGCACCCTTTGGCACCCGCGTCCAGACCTCTGGAAACTTCATGTCTGGTCCCTGGACGGGACGCGGAGGTTCTAATTGACCTACCTCAAGAGGTAGTTGACACCATCACTTCAGCGAGAGCACCATCTACGAGACACGCCTACACTTTGAAGTGGAACCTGTTCGTTGAGTGGTGTTCTTCTCGCCGAGAAGACCCCCGAATATGCCCGATCAGAGTCGTGCTGTCCTTTTTGCAGCAAGGGTTGGAGCGACCCGTGTTTCCCCGGCAGACTTCTGCCATTCCATGAGGGTTACAATCACCTCCATTCTTTCATATGCACTCAAGGAATGTTCATGTGTGTATTGCTTCCGAAACCTGCTTCGGGAAGGTTGGAGCTTCCGTAACGTCCCTGTTCCAAGTAGAACGGGTACGTTTTCCCAGTGTTATCCAGTCTTACTCAGTGGGTAGTGCCATAGCAGCAGTAGCTGGTCCTCTTGTGCAAGCCCTGGCCTACGCCAAAAAGTAGGGGTGCAGGTGGCTTCCACAGGACACTGGAAGGGCCAGTAGCTGTGGCCTTTTGGTAGGATACCAATTTCGTCGGTCATCCGACGTGACGTCTAGATTGACCGACTGAAAGGGAACGTCTCGGTTACGTATGAGATGGGTTCCCCCTGAAGAAGGGAACGGAGACGTCACATCCCGTTGCCACAGCTCCTGTACCACCGCTGAGCGGCCGGGTCACCGGCTCGGCTCCTCAGCGAAAACCTGAATATGCGCTGCATCTGCTGCCTACTTATACTCACGCTGTGATCAGCGGCAGCTGGATGCAATAATCGCATGCCAATGTGCATTGGCTCGTTTAGTTTACACTCGAAGTAGATTGGTCTCTCTAAGCGAGATCCCAATTTCGTCGGTCATCCGATGTGACGTCTCCATTCCTTCCTTCAGGGAACGAGGGTTACCATACGTAACCGAGAC